CGCATAGTGAGGATCCCAAGTAGTCGGAGTGCCAATATCACAACCGTTTATCGAAGTCATACGTCAGCGAATACGAGGCGACAAAGGCAATTAGGTTAGCTAGGGCAGAACCTCTATAAAAACCCGAAGCTCAACGACTTGACAATCAACTGTGTGCTCACAGACTGTAGAGATGCATAGCTATCCATGCATAAATCATTTGATAGCATTTGTTTCAACACTGATTATCTCTCCAAACGAGACCATCTGTCGCTCAGTAGATCAGACGGTTTTGAAGCCGAATTCTTCAGATCTTCGATCCATAGTGTAATTTGGTTTGTTCTCAATGAATATTTCTCAGAGGTGTGAATTGGAGTGTCATGAAAACGAGTTTGAACACATTCTGCTATTATAGTGAGGTAACTTTATTCTTGGGGCTAAGAGACCATCATGGCGCTTAATGAATGCAATCCAGGACCGTAGTTATTCCATAAATTGCAGTAAAAATCACGTTTCAGGTGATGACTGATACGAACGAAAGTCAGTTGGGACTGTCTAAACCTAGTGGATAATCAGCAGAATGCTAGCTTCGGGCAAACCCATGATTCAAGCAGGGTAAACGTCATGAATACTGTTCGCCTGTTTCCTACAGCTCTGCCTGGGTCAATACAGCTCGAGTTCAGCCGGTTCAAGCGTTGGCGGATGTATGGCTGATAGAAGTGAGATAAGTGGAATGGTGAGACGGCCCAACCAACGCCCAACGGTGGCGAATGAGCCTGTACGGTCGAATCTTTCTAGCTCACAGCTTCGTGAGACAGTAAGCGAACCTAAATCGCAATAACCAAGATCACAAAGCTTGTTCCTCATAGCAGGCAGAGGCCTAATGAAAAAGAGGGTTTGTGCACTGCTGTACCTCAAATACAATGAATAACATCTTATCACACAGCTTGTCATTTTACCAAGACCAGAAAGGGAGCAGATGTACCCCATTCGGAGAACAAAACACAGGTACGGTGTGAAATCTGACCAAACGGCTTACCCATAGGTCACAAGAACTCATACCCTTCCTGACAAAGTGTCACGGGAGGAAAACCGTTGTAAAGCTGACAATCACAACGGCATACGGCAAGCTCATGTGTGCGATTTTACCACAAATGACTTTGAGAAGATAGACATAAACTTCATGCGTCATGGGAAGCTATAAACAAATAAGTCACGACACTAATGCACTTAAATCTGGCACAAAGTGCAAAGAATTCCCATTCCAAAAAACTCCTGAATTTTTGTTAGACACGTAAAAGACGCACAACCAACTGTCCTTGCGATGCTAAATGTCATATACGGAAAATGCCCACTAAGTAAAACCGGCTTTCCTTGCGCGTGAGATAAACATCGAAAATTGACTATCCCAAGCACGCTAACTAAATGGAAACTGTCGCTGTTTGTCGCAAATGAAAATTGGTGCACAAAAGGGGAAAGTGCAAACTGTAAATAGGGAGTGCGAGGTAGCGGAACGTTTACATTGTGGCAGACAAACGTATGTATTCGCCAACCGAAAACTAAGTTTTCCAGTGGACATCACATCAAGTGTGCGATGAAAAGGTTTCAAAGGGTTGTTCGCGATATACGATCAAAAATGTTCGTGGAAATGATTAACTGTTTAGCCAGATCACACGCTTCTCACCTACTGAGAAAGATGCTTATTGTATCCAACGAAAAGAGCTTTGGAATGATTTCCCCTAGCCACCACTCAAGGATTACATCCAGCACCCAAGACGCGAAACTAAGTGACAGTACGTAGCAAATTCCGAAGCACCACAATTTCGAGGACACCACACGCTTGCCTCGCCCACAGTGTGCGTTGCACTTCTGAGATCCCAGGCACTCAAATAACGAAAGGATCCATAAAGTGGGATCCGTCAGTTTGTAGGGCAGGCAATACCCACTACAAAATTGAGGTTTTCAGCAACTTGTTGTGATCAAAAACCCTATCAAACAATAATCAACCACTGAGATGGTTTCAGACGGTGGTGCTGGATAAAAATATAGCTAAGGAAATCAGCTAGTATGTAACGTGGAAAGGCTTCTTGATTCAGTGCTCGGTCCAAATCCGAAACCTGTTATGTGGAAAGCCTGCGTAAGTTGTGTAAGCTCCTCCAGTGAGAACAGAACCAATGGGTGATAAACCGATGAAAGTATATCACCATTTCACAAAATGTACCTGCAGGGAAGCCTGTCGTTTCCATTCCACGGGAGGATGTCATTTCGTCGGTTTCAGTTAGACAGGACCAAAACAATTTGCTGTCTGAAGAAAAAAAGAGAAGTAACTGGATGACATTTTTACTTGCGACAGGAAGCGACCGAAAAACAGTGACTACTGATCAAATGCAGTGTCTCAAGCAAGAAAACCACAACGCACTAGGCAAGTTCCAAAGTACACGGGCACAAACGGATGGTAGCGCAACGAAAAATGCTGCATCTAGATCACACTACCGACAAACAATGAGTAAGCAAACGAAAAGTAGCAACTGAAATCAAACCGAGATGACAGTGTGCGTGATAAAGTGGAACAGAGTTCATCCATGGGACATATCAGTAGACACACCCTCTACAAGGCTCACACACTAAAGTAGTATTGGATTCCAAGTTAGATTGCATATCGACGAGTTTCCCCAGGTAATCATTGATTTAAGAGAGGTTCCTTAGACAGCACTTAACTTAGCCGTGTAGTGTTGGAACAGTTCCGTAAGTTACAATGCGTAAAGGTGAAATCGGAAATACCAGCTACCTGAGACTACTTTGTGCTCGACCCAACTATTTACTTTCCCGTTTGCGCGGTTAGTAATACGGAGATGGGTTCATCAAAATAAATGGTCTGGAGCACAGCATTTGTCCCAAAAGTTGCCTTCCATGTTATGTACCAATTCATTTGCAGTGGTAGTAGCCAGTTCAAAAGTTGGACGGAAAGGGGATTGTTCCATTAAGCTAGCGAACACAGTTCCGAAAGCCAGTGATGCAGTACAACCGCCATAATCAAGCTGAAAACAAATCCAATCTTCACTTTTTCACAAAGAGCACTGAAGTTGAACCCAGAGAGATATTCACAAAGTTGTTTCTTGACTCTTACCAGAAAAAAAGTAGCCTAACTTATGTGCACATAAAGTCCTCGATCGATCGATGCAGCTGTTAGAGCCATAGATCATAATCTTTTTTGCAAGGCGTGGCGGTCGTCTTTTTTCATGATACTATTGTATGTAATCCTCTTTGACCAACGCGTATGAAAGTTTTCATAAACTGATGAGACGAAATTTCAATTTTGAGGGACTAGAGCATTCGGTCCTGACTGTGTCACTAATTCCGCTTGTTTGAAGATGGAGGAGAAGGACTTGTTCACAGTTCGATAAGCTCAGTGGGATCACCGGGGGACCGAATGCTGTACCGGAGGAACGGCAGATACCTACCGTTGTTCATGTCTTTGAAAAATGTGCTAGATCTAAATTCGAGAATCATTCAGAGATCCGTCTATCCACCATAGCTTAAATCGTTCACAGATATTATCTCGCTTGAACACACCAGCACCTGTGAGCAGTCGTGAGAATCAAACACGGTTCCCCATGATTCTGGTTGCGTTGACTCCTTCTTCAACCCACTTAGAGGCAATTATGTCCAGAACCCTCTCACCCCTCCTCGTCAATAATGAACGACATTTGTCAAGGACTTAATCATAAGCATATATGAAAGCAAAACCTGAGAACACCGGTGCATCGGTTGATGATATCAATCTATTTGAATAAAGCCTTACAATAGAAGGAAAAATGGGACTCGGAGACGTGCACCCACCCAACACTCGGACAAACAATCTGGATCGAAACTGAAAGCGTCAACCGTACTAACGTCAGTTAGCCGATATGTATTTCAGCGTCTCCAACAAACAGAGAATATAGTGGGTCCCGTACTAGAAGGCGAACAGAAGCAAAACTTTCCATTCCCTTCTGGCGTGTCATATTCCACCCAACTCCGGGATTACGCCACTCCGTGGGAAAACAACACTTTCCTCAACAAGCTTAACACGTCTCGACCGCCTTAGCTTGCGGCGCTGGATGCATTCTTTGAGTGACCTAACTTTTGCAACGTCAAAGACTCGTTTCCTGATCAAATCATTCCGAATTCGTTGGTTTCTGCCGATTTCAGCTTTTGTTCTGAGGCGACGGTGAACATGCCATACATCCACCAAGCAAACTGATCAAGCGCCGAAACTGTACACCTCGCATTGTAGTCTGATATCCGCGTCCTTTGAGACCCAACGAAATGCATTTTTGACGTCGCAATTAGGTCAAATTGGTAAAAGCACCACTGACCTTCGAGATTCGTGGAAACACTTCGTCTGTCACACTACCGTCAGAGTTAATGCAATTTTCAAGGTACTTATAGCGCTCCAAATCCTCGTGTTTCTTGTAGGAAAACTTCTGAAGAGCTCCCTACACACTCACGCGCCCATAGGTATGTGAATACACAGCGAATCATACTCACTTTTGGGCATACCCTGTTGCACAGGCGTCCTGCAAAAACGAACCGGTCGACACAATCGAACACTCTTGAAGCCAAGGCACACCTAGATTGTAGGGCGCCTGTACGCATGCCGTTCCCAAGCCTCCTTTTTTTACAGAAAAGCAAGTCGTTTCAATCAGTAACTGTTATGCTTACCGGAGGCCTATTTGAGCTTTTTTAACGTATGTTGTGAATAATTCAATGAAAACTGACGAACATTCTCACGGTTCTTATGTACACTAGTGGATCTATCCACCTATAGTGATCCTCTAAAAGAGGCAATTCCCCAGCGGATGCGATATCAGCGTTCGCATTAGACGAAACGTCGGAAAGAAATGCTACCAGTCCCAAGGCACATCATCACGAAATGCGAGCAGAACAACACGCCTAAAAAAACAACACATTCATAATCTGTTGCAACCACTGGAGGTGTTCAAGTGCAGGGGAGCAAATGCAGCACTCGCAAAAGTAGCAACAAACATCGACTACAGTGAAGCAATATTAGGCGAGATATTTTCGGGAACATACTTTCGACAACTTCATGCCAGGTGGCGTCTGTAAACGCAGTAGTGAGAATACCCAGAATATGGCACACAGTAACAAATACTCACTGTAAGAATAAAGTGAGTCTCTGAAGAGAGCGAACAACGAATCGTGGTCTCTTTTTCGTCTCTCCCTGGAGTAGTCCCTTCTTGGTGAATATTCACACCAAATTTGTCACTAAAAGGAAACGCTACTGTGACCTGTAACGGCTATCCTTCCGTTTAACTACTCCTCCAAGCCATTCCACACCTGTACCTACTATTCACATTTTGTTTTGTCTGCCTCGCAATCACGCATCAACATCGTGCCAACGAATACAACCTTTGGCTGTATCCGTTGGCACGATGTTGATGTGTTACAGATCGCAAGCAATCACGCATCAACATCGTGCCAACGAATACAACCTTTGGCTGTATCCGTTGGCACGATGTTGATGTGTTACAGACCCATCCAAGAGGAGAGCGGTCTCTGTTCAGATGAGTGTCTCTCCGCCCAAACTTTCGTGTAATCTGGTGTAATTAGTATTTGGCGCATTTCAGGCGTGAAATACAACCTTCGAATTTCAAGCCACCGTAAAAGACGGTCTATAGCGCTTCAGTGCGCCCAGTTCTGTTATAGGAAACAAGGACGTTTCTGTGAGTAGGGGAAATGAAGCTCATATCGCTTGACCATTGTTACCTACGTAGCACTCCCAGGGTCTGGTAGAAAGTCACAGTGGGTGGACAGGTTTCTAGACGAAGCAGTTAAGCTCAAGCTAGTAATGCAAATGACGGATGACGTACTATTACGCAAATCTCCTCTGGTCTAGCCGTGTGCAAAGAGATCACTGTACCAGTTGGTTTAAAACATTAAAGTCCCTCGTCAACAAATTCAGCTACTCAACTCCTATCATCCTAGATGATAACTTCGGAAGCAAGTAAACTAACAATACACGGCAGACTGCCAGCACGATCCAATTAAATAGTTCATTGGGTTCTGAAATCTTGCCTCATCCGAAACTCACTTCACCAAGACAGTAGACCTAATCAAGGCTCCCGACGAGGGGTTACTTCCTCTGCCTTCCCTACCTTCGGTGAACGACATATTAGCAGCTGTAGCCAAGGTGCTTCTGGTAAAAGGCTTTTGGCTGACAGAAAGAACAAACGAACGTCGAAGATCTATGCATGTAAACACTCCCTGCGACTTTTGGTTAGCTAAATTTATGTATGGGGAAAAAACAATTCAACCAACAACAGTACTGTACACGGGCGAACACAGTCCGTCATGTTTCTAAAAGCTCTTCCGCAGACCACGACCGGTTTCACCATTATTAAGGCTCATTAGGTGGGTTTATTCCGCGATTTCCCGCCAACTCGAACCTATATTGGAGGAAACTCGCGAAATATAGTTATTTGCATGCCAACCCTATTTTAACCTGAAACTCAACTGAAGCCCAGCTGGATCTCTCGTTTATCATATTCCTCTCCAACTGACATGCTGCACAAAAGCAGCTCTATGTTTCAGTTGGTATGATACTTGGGATGTCACACAATGTTTTCTTGACGGAACACTACTCGCAAGGTTCCTGAAGGCCCTGTGACAGCCTATGACGGGTGCTGTTCTTCTAGAGGTTAATTAGGTACCCACAATCCCCGAGTTTTCGCTAGCCTTGTGTTCTGCTTGAACTCATTGGAGAATAAACTGGTTGGCGAGCATAACTCAGTCAGTGAATCAGCAAATGTTATTGGCTAACCCGAAAGAGCTCGGGAACTGGGAGGGGGGTACAAGTCCAAGAAGAGACGAATTCAATGAGACCAAGGTCATTCAACAATAAATAATTTACTAATGGCTTCCTCCGGCTCAAAAGGAAAGTAGTTAGAGATTCCGAAGTGGCTGCTCCACTACAAAAACCCAAAACAAAACATGAAAGTCGTTAGGAGTACTCATTTGGATCTTGCATTATGCACAACCCAATCGTTGTACAATCTCGAGAAAATGGAATCCCGTGAAACTTCTAGGATTCAGAGCTGTCCAGAGAATTCACAGTTTTTTCTTCACTCTCGATAACTGCCTTCTTGTTAAATCGAAATACACCCTTCTCCTATAAAAATCGGTGTGTATTTCGCTGTTCCTAGTGAAAACCTAAGTGACCGGAGCTGACCATAACTACAAGATTAACTGCATTGGACTGTGTAGGTGACAGCGATGGCGGACAGTGGGAACATCTCACAACCTGTAAAACGATCAGGCAACTGAATATTCCACAAAGAATGAGGCCATTCGAGGGAGAGAAATACAACATTCACTTCCCAAAGAACACACCAGCATCAGAGGGGCTCAGCAAACGACAGCCCCATAAAAAGAAACGTGATAAGTGAGGGCAATATGAATACATTCCACTGAGCCTTGGGACTGGCTTTTTGGAAGCAATATTGAGCAAGGGGAACAATCAAATCAGTGAGAAAAACTCACCGACAAGAGGAGATTTCATCGTACTTGGGCTTGGGATGTCGTGGTTCAAATCTAAATCAACCAATTCGGCCTCTGAAAACCCGTGCGGCAGAGTATAGTGAGATGAGTCCGGATAGCCTCGAGGTCGAGAAAGGCCCGATATCTGAAGCGATGGAGAATTGGGATCAGAGGGTACATGCCTCAAGGAAAAGCAATAAGCCGGTTGTAGCAACCGAGGATAGTCAAAAAGGGAGCAGTGATAGGCATATCATTCATGCTACTCAAAAGATATGTCCGTTTTCATAAAGGAAACTACTCACAAGGTTTCAGAAGAGCTTGGTAAACAATCGGTAGTTTTTATTTGGGCAACGTTTCGCTTTTGACACAAAAGCACACCTGCATGGGTCAGCTGGAGTGACCCAAGACCGTTCTCCACACGCTAGCCAGTTCCACGCCTTCCATTCTGTTAACGCTGGGATGCTTGGTGATTTCTACCGCCTCAGCGATCAGTGGACCGTAGTCCTCGCCTCAAAACCTCAACATTTTCTAAATCTATTTTGTGTCCCGTGTCGAGTGCGTGTTCCGCAATCGCCGAGTCTTTCATTAACGCTTGATATTCATCTGCGTTTCTCGGCGGCCTGTTTATTTTTCTACTATGCTCTCCGACTCTGATGTGTAGTTCCCTGGCCGTCTGTCCTATATAGACCTTGGTGCAGTCATTACACTTAATTTTGTAGACACAGTCCCTGGTTCTGTTTACCAGTGCAGAGCGCAAAGTGTTCCCCCTCTGGAAAGCTACTCTTATATTAGCCGTGTTTAGAATTCTTCGAATTACCTCCGACGTCCCTGGTTTATATGGAATAACAGCTGCCCCGATCCATTCCCTGTTGGGTTTCGCTACCGGTACCAACACCCTTCGCAATTGACGCCTAATCAAACTAGCTGGATATCCACTACCCCGAAGTTTGTTCTTTACCTCAATTTGGGCAGCTGTCCGATCAGCTTCTTCTGCGCACAGGGCCCTTACACCCCTAAACATTGATGAGGTAATACTGGCGAACACCGACTTCGGATGGGCAGATGAGTAGTTCAAAACTGCTCCAGTGTCGATTGGCTTCTCGTACATTGTGGTCTTTAGTCTTTAGGCATGTAAACTGAAGGGTCAGATGTACACTGATTTCCCAGAAAACTCTTACGTTCATTTTCATGAAGGAAACCACTCACAAGGTTGCTGAAAACTCTTCGACAGCCAACGACCGGCTTCGCCCTTCTTGGACCTCATCAGGTAGGCGCAGTCCCCGAGTTTCCATCAACCTGATGTTCTACTTGAACCCAAATTGGACCGTTTTCGAGAAATACACTCATTTGCAAATTAATTTAGTTTTCATATTCGATATTTTTCTAAGGAGAATATACTACGATATCTCGAATATCGTGCCAACTGAATCATGAGGCGGCCTTTGAGCAGCACATTCAGTTGTAGAATATCATAAACGAGAGATTCAGTTGAGTCCCTCGTGAAAACCGATTTGATATGTGCGTTTATTCGGAAAAAAGTCAAAAAGGCTGACTACAATAGGACCGGATGCTGTCTAGGTGACAACTTAAACACAGGGTACTAATTTTCCCACACGGCCATCGAGAAGTTTTAATTCAGAGGTATATGAAAAACTGTGGTTAGAAAGATAGCCATAGTTTACGGATCCGTGTGATGAGATGGGGGTTTCTAGGTGTACGAGTTCAGCTAAAGTTGACAACAAAATCATATTAGTTATTGACTGAAAGATGTACCGGATGTCAATACTGAATCAAGAGCGGAGGGTGGAACGAATAACCATGTTCAATAATACCATTCCAGTTTCAACACAGATCACACTGGGTCAACACACCACTCAGGTGACCGACGTGCAACTGACTAGATGTAACCGAAGGCCACTCAATTAGTAAACATATGCGAGGAGCAGTCAGCAGAGAGGAAAAAGTGAGGATGTACGCACCATACGAAACAAGCGTTACTCTGTCAGAAATCATCATCATCATCATCAACGACAGCATGACATCAGTGCTCAACACCAATGCTTCACTGCCGTACAGCCATGACTTATTTGAAAGCCTTATTGTAAAGAAAAGAATAAAGGTGGATGGGGGAGGGACTTAGTGCTAGCTTAACACAATCATTCCGAGGTGCCTACACCTCCAGACATTCACTCAGGCAATCTGGACAGAAACTGACAACAAGAACGCCACTGACAACGGTTGGCAGCCATATCTTGTAGTGTCTCCAACAAGGCACAGTGAGGATCACGCGGTCCACATCCTGGAAGGCGAGTAGCACCGACAGCACCCAAGCGTTTCATGATCTACTTCATACTCCTCTGCCAAGTCAGGAGTTGGTCACCTCTCTGTTTACGCCACTCCGGATTGGGCATGGAAAACAGTACTCTCTTCGGCAAACGATGGTTCGGCATGCGTAAAACATGTCCCAACCAACGCAGCTTCTGGTGCTGGACACATTCTTCAATGGAAGTACCCG